CGACACAAACGGTACCCAGAAATCAAAGCGTAATCATTTCCATCTCCCCTCGTTTTTTTTTGTTGTTTCTTGTTTCTGGTCAAGCGACCACCACCCATCACTTGGGCTTGTTCGGGTGCGCCCGGTGATAAGCGTTCACCATCCGCGCGTTGCCAGGCACAATGTTGTATGCAGGCTCCCAGCTGTCTTCGGAGGCGGGGCGATCTTTCCAACGGATCAAGTACCACAATTCGTCGTCGTCGCGAAGCTGCGAGTCGAGAATCCTGCCAACCGGGAAGAATTCGCCATCACTCGTAGACAAGCCAGGGACATTGCGGAGCACACGGTCGGGTAAATCATTGGGACGATACAGCTCCAACAAAGCCACATTGAAGACATCGGCCTTTTTTTTTTTTTTTTTACCGTCTAAAACTTTATTAAGAATAACAAAGAAAAAAGAACGTAGGATATGAGACAGTTGAATGTCGTCATAACGCACACCAGTGAAGGCATGCGGGGAGAGTGCTCAAGAGCTCGCGGAGGAACTCGAACAGATGATCAGCCGGGCTGACAATGGAAGGATCAGGCATTCCCCACCTACTATCCCGATCATTAAATTTCGACCCCCCCTCTTTTTTTCACTTTTTCGCCCTCCCTGGGACCTGTGTTGCTTTCCGTCTCGCCCGCGGAATGTTCATTCATGGTACGGTGTACCAGACACATTTTAGAAGTGAAGCAGCGGGCTGGGAGTTAAGATTCGAAGCGAGAACAGACAAAAATGAAACTCAAAAAAACAGAAAAAGAGCGGATTTTTTGCCCAATTTTCACAAAGCATTACATGGCACACAAACAACGTGTCGCAGCGCCTTCGCTCCACTTCAGTACTTGGTATAACCACCATTGGCATCTATCACAGCTTGAATGCGGCGCGGCATCGATGAAATGAGATCGCGGCAGACCTCTGGCGTGAGCACTTCTTCGTAGACCGCTTGGAAGCGTTCCCACAACGCGGCCTTGCTCTTGATCTCCCTCTCCTGGTAGATCTTGTTCTTGACCATGTTCCACGCATTTTCGATGGGGTTGAGGTCGGGAGAGTTCGCAGGCCAGTCCAGGACGGTGATCTGATTGGTTTCGAACCACTTCGCCACATCTTTTCTTTTGTGACAAGGGGCATTGTCATGCATGAAAATCATCTCGTTTTTGTTGTTCCACACGCGAATGCTTGCTAGCAACTCGCTCTCCAAAACTGAGAGGTAGGTGTCGCCGTTCATGACGTCGCCGACCTCGCAGAAAAGCGAAATTCCGAAACGAGAGATGGCGCCCCAAACATTGATATGGCCACCGCCGAACTTGACCGTGCCCTGCACGCATCGATCGGTCAACGTTTCGCCAACCAGACGCCATACACGACCACCGTTGTTGTTCCTGTAGAGATAGAGAGCAGTCTCGTCGGAGAAGACGACCCTCAGCCAGTCATCGACGGTCCAATGCTGATGAGCGAGTGCAAAGGCCAAGCGTCGCTCTTTGTGTGTCTCTTTCAAGAGGGCTTTTTTGACCTTCGCTCCGTTGACAAGTCCTGCACCATGCAGCACCCTTCTTATCGTGCATGGAGAGACACGAACTTTGGACAATGTGCGCATAGTGGCGGCCACTTCGGGTGCGGTGTCGGACTCATCGAGGAGGATCTGTGCTACAATGTTGTTGCGGTGAAATGACTTGAGCTTGCTGGGGCGACCGGGGCGGGGGCTGTCGCTCGTCGTCGCCCTTCCCGAGAAACGTTGGGTGATGCTGATCACTGTAGAACGTGGGAGGTGAAGCTGGGTGGCGATCTTGTTGTAGGAGAGGCCAGCATTTCGCAACGCGAGCACTTGACCGCGGACGACCTCCCTGGGCATCTTGTCCAGCACGGGCAGCGGTCTTTTTGGTGAAGTTGGACGCAGCCATACCGGGGGCTGTCTGGGAGCCACGCGGGACGTGGACTGACTGCGTGTGCGAGTCATGCGCA